AAGAGTGGGCAAATATTGCCAAGTCAAGACGTGCCATGCTGATAGACTCATACCCAAAAAGACTGAGTGCTGGAATCACATCAAAAGGTGCTTCAACAAAGTATTAGTTTAAGGGTGTGCTCACTTATGCAACCATATTATTTTAGTTTTTATTTTTACTTCTCTCCAACTAAAAGATTTCAGTTTGTTGTTCAACTAAGTTGTACAGTTTATAAGTTACATTAAAAGGTAGAAATTATTTACCTTTGTCTCATTGTGTTACATCACAGAAACCTGACATTTTAACAGGGGTGTGTAGACTTTTTATATCCACTGTACCTACTCATTTAGTGTGATATTGTAAATGTAGGTCTGTGAATCAGGTCCTGCCAGGTGTTTATTATTTACTTTGGTTCATTTTGTGTGATATTGTAAATGTAGGTCTGTGAATCAGGCTCTTTTGGGTGTTTATTCATTATTCACTTTTATTCATTTTGTGGGATATTGTAAATGTAGGTCTATGAATCAGGCTCATTGGGTGTTTATTCATTATTCACTTTTATTCATTTTGTGGGATATTGTAAATGTAGGTCTATGAATCAGGCCCTTTTGGGTGTTTTATTAATTAATTATTCACTTTGGTAAATAGTTTTTTTATATAGTTTAAATTGGTATATGTTCTAATTTATAGGTGGGTGGGTCATGTATTTATTAATTTATACCCTCACTTATTGGCTGTACTTAGGTTGAGATTTACAGTGTAGCACTATTCATTTATTATTTTGATTTGTCTTTTGAGAGGTGGAACACTTTTGGTGCTTGCAGCTTTAGTATAGTTATATTTTTTGTGGCAGCGCAGAAGACTCCTTCCTTTTAGCATATAAAAAATAGAGTAATGCAGGCAAAGCCCCTGCACACTGGGACCGTGGGACAAAGGTGAGAATGCAGGAAAGTCCTGCCCAATCCAAGACCGTTGGGAGATATGCATATACTGTATACATGATTCTGCACAGAGTGGCCACCTTGTAGCAGTAAAACGGCTGTAGGGCAGTCAGCAACTGGTTTAAAAAAAATGATGGTTGTACACTATAAATAAAAAATATGATGGACTCATTAAGCAATGAAAGAGAGTGCACGCACCAAGCTAAAAGGCATATAAAAACCCTGTATGCTTTGTGGCTGTATGCATAAATACTGCTCATCAGAATCTGTATTCCCAGCACCAGTGTATGGAGTCTGGTACACTATCTAGTGCTCTACCCTCTGAGCACAAAGATTTGCTTATGTACATTATGATACCCTTCCTGTACAGTTTTTACTGTGTTTTTTTTCTCCTATACAGTATGATCATCATTCTAGACCTACTAAGTAGTAGTAGATACAAATTACATTTTTATTTTAGGCACACAAAGGCTTGCTGGAATGTACATTCCATAGCAAAGCACCCTTGTTAATCCTCCCCAAGAATAGTGCTCCACTGTCCTCTAGTGGGCCACAAAATACACTAATAAATAAAAACCCTCCTGAGTATCAAACCCAACGTGTAATGGAATAAATCTGTGAAACAAATAAAGCCAATAGTAAATAAAAACAAAAAAATGCTCATCTTTTTTTCTTTACGCACTTCTTGTGAATATCTAGCTCAGTTGAACATTTACCTGACTCATCACGTATTTATTCCACTGGGGGGGCTGATTGCTCAGCCGGGCATTTGTTTTACAATCATTTAATACTGGTTTTGTTGATTTTCACACTTGATGGTTCAGGTCAACCAGGTGTTTATTACAGCTCGGCCAGGTGTTTACTGCTATTGGTATCATGTTTTATTTCTGATATACGTTTCACATATTTTATTATTTTTATTGTTTTTTTACACCTTATTCTTCAGCTCAGCTGGGTGTTTATTATAGGTTGGCCAGGTGTTTATTGCTACTTGATTTTGGTTTATTTTTTATATATATTTCACATACCATTTAGATTTAGTGGCACGGCCAGTTTTTTGTTTACTAGAGGGCAGTGCAGCACTATTCTTGGGGAGTTTTATTGATGTGGGAACACATTTAGGTGCTTGCAGCAGCTTATCATTTATTTGGCAGCGCATCAGTATTAAATCCTTACCCTTGTTAATAAATTCCATATGTTCACTATAGCCTTTGTGTGAATGTTGGCGCTCACATGAACAAATTATATATATTTTGAGCATAGCTTTTGCTCATTCACACAATATTGATGCTACATTGTACATACTTTTGTAAATCAGATCCAATTTCATGTTTACAAGGAAATCAAAATTTTAGGATTATGGTTGCATTTGAAGAACAAACATGATGAGTTAGCTGCAAGCACCCAACATCCATGTCTTCATGCTTTATTTTTGTTGAGAGATCCCTCTGAAAACACTCCCTAGCATTTCTAGCCACAGCAATCTTGAGTAGGGGAAAATGATTTATGTAGCATTTAGTCCCTGGAATCCATCTACCTTTAGCTCAGTCATGCAGGCAGGAGGCATTTTATCCTAGGCCGGAAACTGGGAAACAACTGAAGAAATGAAAAAAAAGAAAATTAAACAAGTAATTATAATATGCCATCCTATCTTTTTACTAAGGCTAGTTGCATAAGGACGAAAAATTAAAAAATCAGCATCCACAAAAACTTTTAAAACACAGACACTCACCTGTTCCAGGATCCCTGGCTGTGCTCACCTAGTCGTTTTTGACTAGATGATCCAAGTGGAAGTGGGAGCAGGTACATGTCAAAACTAGAAAACTAGGTGTCCGTCCATTCCCCCTCCCAAAAAAAAAGTTAAAGAGGAGCAGGGAAGAAGGCCTTAAAGCAGGACTTCTCCTTTTGGCTGATGTTCTGCTTTATGTTGATTGAGAGAGTTTAGTTCCACTTTAACGTAACGGTACAAAAAAAAAAAATTATGGTCAGAGCCATAACAGGAAATATCCAGGCATGGGAAAGGGTCATCTATTCTGAGGTCCTGTAGAATAATTGCTTTTCTAAAGTTATATTGAGAATGCATTTTCCATTAGGGAAATAAACTAAGTAAATGGAGTGATTGTAAACCTTTTTTTTTTTTCCTAAAGTAGAAAAGATGCTATACTTACCTGCTCTGTGCAATGGTATTACACAGAGCAGCCCCATTCTTTCTCTTCTGGTGTCCTCCACCAGCGTTTCCGCTCCTCCTCTCTCTCCGAGTGACCCATAGCAAGCTTCTTGCTGGGGGTATGTATGCGGGTGCACTCCTGAGCTGGGCTGTGTGTGTCTATATACATAGAGTCAATAAATAAAAGTGCAGCGCTATAAATAAGTAACAATAGGTAATAATGTACATATAGGTAAACATTCATAAGATGACAATCCTTGTGTAGAGTGCCCATTATGGCGGTATTTCAGTGCTTGTGCTTTTAAAGGTGGGGTAAGAATACACACTCACCAGATGCGTAAAGATATTACCTATGTAAGCAGGAACTCCCTCCTCTGTGCAATATGATGGATCTGGATGCAGGGGTGGGCTCTGGGGAATCAATGACTCCACAAGGGAGACATAAAGAAGATGCCCATAGTGTAGTATTTAAAAGCTTTAATAAAGTGTTTATTGTATTAAAAACGTATTAAAGCTTTTAAATACTACACTATGGGCATCTTATTTATGTCTCCCCTGTGGAGTCATTGATTCCCCAGAGCCCACCCCTGCATCCAGATCCATCATATTGCAAAGAGGAGGGAGTTCCTGCTACACAGGTTGCTACACCCACTCATCCCTTAAAGGGCACCTCTGGTTACTGAATCCATATATCACCCTGAAGTACCACCCATCCAGAGGGAGGATATCTCTATACCTGGCTTAACCTGCTTCCTTAAAGGGGGACCTCGGATGATTGATTTATATGCGTAATATCTTTACACATTTGGTGAGTGCGTATTCTTACCCCACCTTTAAAAGCACAAGTACCGCCATAGTGGGCACTCTACACACGAATTGTCACCTTATGAATGTTTACCTATATGGACATTATTACCTATTGATACTTATTTATAGCGCTGCACTTTATTTATTGATTTGACTGAGGTTTTATTTGGTTACCTGTAGTGCATAGCTGCTGATGCTGAAAGCGCTCACTTCGTTTTTGTTTCTATACTTATAGACATAGAGTGATAACAGGTGCAGCACTCAATATCCAACAGTAAAGTGCATGTTTAAAAGCTCATAATAAAACTCATAATAACATTTAGATGAAATGTGCAAAAACTAAGGTGCTAATGAAACAAAGTGCTGATAAAGAGAAAATATCCAATCCTAATGTAAACAAGTGACAAACAATGTCCATAAAGTGTGGCACCTATTGCCACAATTTATGGACATTGTTTGTGACTTGTTTACATTAGGATTGGATATTTCCTCTTTATCAGCACTTTGTTTTATTAGCACCTTAGTTTTTGCACATTTCATCTTGAATGTTATTATGAGTTTTATTATGAGCTTTTAAACATGCACTTTACTGTTGGATATTGAGCGCTGCACCTGTTATCACTCTATGTTATTGGAGGTTATTTGGTTGCCTTTTTTATGCAATAGCAGCTTGTTCTTAGCGCTCACTTGTTTGTTTTCTGTTATGTGTCTATAGACACACACAGTGAGGCTCAGCCACGTCCCCTGCTCCCTCCTCTCAGGATTTGATTGACAGCAGCAGGAATCAATGGTTCCCACTGAGATCAGTGCAGCCTGGGAGAACAGGGAGAGGGGAGAGAAGAACTCCAGCAAGGCACAGCTCTGGAATGACGCAAGACTCAAGTAAGTGTTAGGATGGGGGAATGGGCAGTGGAAGGTTTTTTACATTATGGAAGAGAATGCATAAAAGTAAAACATGTTTAGAGTTTAGAACTACTTTAGGTATCTTGCAGCAGGAATGGGAATGTAAAACAGGAATGTGTAAACATGAATTGATTCACGTATGTATGGACTGATCAATAGACCTATCAGAATGGTATAAATATTCTATTTCTGTATTTTTCAGAAAGATGTCATGTTTGATGATTATGAAGTCCCAGTGGTGTCTAACCTAGAACAGGTAAATCTTTGCGGTGAGATCGAAACTCATCAGGTGACCCTATCCACTCCAGCCAACAAGCCTTCTTTGATTGCAAAAAAGTGGAAACAGAGCCGCAGTCTATAAAATCATACCACAGTATTTAATCCAGGTAGCTGGAATCCACTGACACACACGTTTAGGCCATGCATTCTGATGCATTTCACCCCAATAAGGCTTAACTGTAGAGGTCCTCTGCGATTGAGCCCAATCAAGGAGAAACCTTTCAGAGGGGCCTGGCCTAATACAGGGACTGTGTCTGTGGAAACCAGCTACCTGGAATAAACACTATGGGATAATTTTATAGACTGCGAATCTGATTCCACTTTTGCAAACTTTGCTGAACAGGACAGACAGAGGGAAACAACACCTGTTACACAAGGAGTACCTGGGGAGAGGTTGAGCAGAGCTTTGAGTGGTGCACCTTCTTGTGGGATTTCTACAGTAAGCCCTCTTTGATATTTTTTCATTTGCGATGGGCTAAATGTAGAAAGCTTTATGATTAAAGTGGTTGTAAAGGCTGAAAGTTTTTTTCACCTTCATGCATTCTCTGCATGAAGGTAAAAAAACCCTTCTGTGTGCTGCTCCCCTCACAGCCCCCCCAATACTCACCTGAGCCCCCTCTCTATCCAGCGATGTGCACAGGAGCCTCAGCTGTCCCGTGTCTCTCTCTCCTCATTGGCTGAGACAGCAGTGGAAGCCATTTGCTCCCACTGCTGTCAGTCACAGCCAGTGAGCCAATAAGGAGAGAGTGGGGGGTGGGGCCAAACCATAGCTATATGTGTCTTATGGTCATATTGAGCAAGCCTCAGGAGCAAGCATGCAACAGTGTCTCCATAGCAAGCGGCTTGCTATGGGGGGACACTGGTCAAGGCGTAGCAGCCAGGAGTGTAGGTGGGGGACCCAAGAAAGAAGAGGATCAGGGCCTCTCTGTACAAAACCATTTCACAGAGCAGGTAAGTATGACATGCTTGTTATTTAAGAAAAAAAAACCTGAACCTTTAATATTACTGTAAGTCTATCACAAGTGTAACTCATCACAGAGGGCAAAGTCATGAGATCGACTTCTCATAAACAGGAATGTTAGAAATGTTTTGTTTGATCAGTGTATTCTGACAGTGGATCAGTCTCGCTGTTAGAAAACAGAAGTTCAGTGCAGCGGTAGAGGATTCCGCTATTCACCTCAAATGTGCGGATGGGGGAATCTGTTCAGATTTTTTTTTTTTGATCAGTCAGATGGCTGAGCAGAAAATAAAAAAAAAAAAAAAAAAAAGATCCATCTATGGCTAGCTTTAGATTCACTGGAGTGTGGCTGTTTCTTTTGTGGACATTGTGTGTAGGAATCAAAATGAGCTTTTTGTGACTTAAGCACCTGACCTGCAGAGGGAGGATCCAGCAGGGGTTGGAGAGCAGTGTCATTGTTTCTCCTTGCATCTTGCAGACACTGAAAATAGGAATGTAAATCCTTGCCTCTCCTGCTCCCTACCAGGCCGTTGATTAAGGGCACTGGATCAAAAGGATAGGGTTTTGATTAGGGATGCACCAATACCGATATCAGTATCAGTGCGGATACCAAGTATTTTTCATGAGTACTCATACTCATGAAAATGCTCCCGGTACCAGAAACTGATACTTTGGAACCAGTGATGGTGCTGAGCAATCAGAAGCCATCTACCCCGTACTGTCCTAAGTGCAAGGAGAGGAAAGAAAGCTGTGGGGACTACAAATCCCCAGACCTGTGAAGCAGCTTTTCATTGTGTGACCGGATGGGATCAGTGCAGGGAGGTTTTCCACACTATTCTTGTGTGAACGCAGGCTATGACATGGACAGGAATCGCACTTCCTATTCAAATCGCATGCTATTCTTTGCAGTGTGGTTTGCACCCATTCATTTTGTATGGATGCAAATCGCGCTGCAAAATACCAGTACTCGGTGTTGATGAGTAGTTGACCGAAAGTATCAGTTCACGTACTTGCTGATAAAAAAAGGGTATTGGTGCATCCCTAGTTTTCATATTTCTCTCCATACAAGTGACCTTTAAGCAGTTGTGATTTTGTTATTAAACAAAGCTATGTATCTACCTTCCTTCCTTTCTCAGCACCACTCAAAAACCTCCTTTTTTATCACCCTACCTTCCTTCTACAGAACCATGTCTTCTTTTCTCAGCACCCTAACTTCCTTTCTCAGCACTTTACTTTTTTTCTTAGCACCTACTTTCCTTTCTTGACATCGTACCTTTTCTTCCCAGAGTTGCCTTGAGAAGAGGCCAAATGGTCTGCTTGTAGATGATTAGATGTGAGTCTTACTATGTGCTGTTTGCAGAAACATTGTTATATACCTACCTGTTCTAGGTTCTTTTCAGTCCTTCTATTTCTGTTAAAGTAATTTCCGGCCAAAAATAAAAATAGAATAACCCATTGAAATATAAAATAAAAAAACAGCTTTGGCTGCAATGCTTACCTCCAATCCAGAACTGTCCCTTGTAGGACTTTTCCACTACAAGATGCCCTAAGTCTCGTAATGAGTAAGTACAGGCATGCAAAATGCATCAAAGCTGTGCAATTCTACACTTCTAATAAACTCATTGGAATCCAAGAATAACTTGGAGTTGGAATGTTTTCCACAGAATCTTTGATGTTTTCCGGCAAGACTAGGCCCCTAATGAGATGTTGTAGAGTAAATACATTTCTGTCCCTCTTGTGACAGGATATTGAGTTGTTTACACAGATTATTTGCATTAAGTGCACAGAAATGACTAATTGCTGTTTTTTATCCCATAGGACAAACACTGTTTAGCATTCTGGGAGACATATGATACATATACCATACTGGATAATATATCAGGAAAGGCTGAACCTGAGCTTAAGGAACGCATAACAACACTTAAAACAGAACTTCGCTTTGTAGAAGAGTGTACATTTTCGGTACGTATGTGGTCTCTACCTACTAAAGCAATAGTCTCCATATCTAAATGGGGCAATAATCATGTTTGAACTTGTTGGTAAATCTGATTTTGTACTACAGTATTGTATAGTAAGAACTCAACTGTTTGCCCCAGTACAACTTAAAAAGTGTTTTGCATGTGCAACAGTTTGGCATTTATTTCAGGTATTGTGCTTGGGTAGATAGCTCTTTAGAAGAGAACTATGATTTATTTGGTATTGCTGAATCTTGGCTTCATTGTTCACATGACTGGGCTAATCATATTCTTGGCTATGCTGTCTTTCAGAGAGACAGGGTAAAATGAAAAGGTGGTGGTATCTGTTTCTTAGTGAGAAGTGATCTCAAAGCAAGTGTGAAAGTGGACCTAGTTGATGGAGAGTGTAATTAGGCTGAAGCATTGTGGGTGGAGGTGCATATGGGTGTACGTAGTTCAAAGTTGATCATTGGAGCTTGTTTCAGGCCACCCAAAGTTAAGTTGGAGGTGGATACTCAACTCCTTGCACAGTTAGAAAGAGAGACAAGGGGTGGGACAGTGATGGGGGATTTTATCTACTGTGAAATTGACTGGAGTAATGGCATTGCTGGAACAGTAAGAGGGCAGAAATTTATAAACCTGTAACATGACATTTTTATGGTACAGTTCATAGAGACCCCAACTAGAAATGATGCTCTGCTTGATCCGGTAATCTCAAAGCATGTGGAGCTTGATACTAATGTTCAAATAAAGGAACATCTGGGCAGCAGTGACCATAATATGATTTCATTTAATGTTAGCTGTTAACAACATGCACACACTGGAAAGATAAAAACACTTAATTTTAAAAGAGCACATTTTTCTATGCTGAGGTCTGCTCTCCAAGACTTAGTATGGAAGAGAATGTTGTCTCTGAAGAACACAGAAATGGAAATGATTCAAATCAACTGTATGCAAACACACTGCAAAATACTGTATATTCCCATGGGCAATACGTTTAAAAGGCTAAAGCTAAAACCTATGTGGCTCATGTCCAAAGTTAAAATAGCTATAAATAATAAGAAGAGAGCATTTAAAAAATATACAAATTAAGAAATACTGTCATAATTTAATAGTTGCAAAGAATATAAACAGAATATATGAAAAGGAAATCAAGGTTGCAAAAACTGAAAATGAATGTCAGGTTGCCATGACTAGTAGGACAAACCCCAAAAAAGTCTTCAAATATATTAACAGTAAAAATGTCAGGTCTAAGCCCTTTACAAAATAATCAAGAGTGGGTGACTGGGGACAACGAGAAGGAAAATGTATTAAATATTTTCTTCAGCTCTGTGTATACAAAGGAGCATGGGGGAGCTCAAGTCCTTAATGGGGATAGTATTGACACAACTCCAAATGATCCACAATGGCTCAAGACGGCATGGTCTAGAAACATTTAGACAAAAAAGGTGAATGAAGCACCTGGACCAAATGGCTTACACCCAAGGGCCCTCTGTTATATCTAAGCCATTGTTTCTCATTTTTAAAGACTCTTTAAAGACTGGCATGGTACCACTGAATTTGTGTAAGGCACGTGTTGTGGTGCCTATACTTAAAAAGGGATCACAGTCTTTACCAAGTAACTACAGACTTTAGTTTAACTTCTATAGTTGGGGAATTTAATAAAAGATCACATAGAAGAGTTTTTGCTAGAAAATAATAGTTTAAACAATAGTCAGCATGGATTTGTGAAAAACCAAAGTTGCCAAACATGTCTGATTTGTTTTTATGAGATTGTAAAGGCATGGCTGTGAATATAGCTTACTTGGATTTTGCAAAAGCACTTGACACAGTTCCCCACACAAAGCTAAAAGTGTAAGTTAATATCTACAGGCTTAGAAAATTCAGTTTGTAAATGGCTAGAAAACTGGCTATTGACCATATTCAGAGAGTAGTGATTAATGATTCATATTCTGAATAGTTAAGGTGATTAGTGGTGTACCCCAGGGTTAAGTGTTTTGGTACCCTTACTTTTTTAACATATTTATAAATAACATAGGGTCTGGGATTAAAAGTACCATTTCAGTATTTGCAGATGACACCAAGCTATGAAGTGGAATAAGTTCCTTGCAGGATGTCTCCAACCTGCAAGCCGATCTCAATTCACTATTCATTTGGGCAACTAAGTGACAAATGAGGTTTATTAATAATAATAAATGTAAAGTTATGCACTTGGGAGCTAAGAACACACATGCATTGTACATTCTATGAGGAGAACAGCTGGGGGAGTCAATGGCAGAGAAGGATTTGGGTGTTCTGCTAGATCTCAGACTTGGCATGCAATGTCAAGCTGCAGTTTCTAAAGCAAGCAAAATCCTTTCTTGTATTAAAAGAGGTATAGACTGCAGATAAATAGTAAGACCTCATTTGGAATATGCTGTTCAGTTTTGGGCACCAATTCACAGAAAGTATACTGGGGTACTGGAGAAAGTGCAGAAAAGGGCAACCAAACTGATAAGAGGCATGGAGGAGCTCGGCTATGAGGAAAGATTAGAGGAACTAAAAATATTCTCTCAAAAAGAAGAGATTAAGGGGGGATATGATTAACATGTGTAAATACATCAGTGGTTCATATAATGAACTTGGTGTACTGTATGGTTATTCATTTTCAGGTTATCACAGAGGACAAGGGGGCACTCTTTACGTATGAAGGAAAAGAGATTTAACCTCCACATACAAAAAAGCTTCTTCACAATAGGAGCTGTGAAAATGTGGAATAGACTCCCTGAAGAGCTGGTTCTGGCCATCTCAGTAGATTGTTTTAGAAAAGGCCTAGAATACATTCCTAAATGCATCAAATGTAACTGTATATTAATATTTAGAGGTAATAACACCAGGCGTAGTTGAACCAGGGAATATCCAATTGCCTCTAGGGGGATCAGGAAGGAATAATTTTCCCTCATTGGAGCGAATTGAATCATACTTTTTTTTGCCTTCCACTGTATCCACTGTGGGTACAGAATTGTGTATATGGGGGTTTTAAATATCTTTTGCTTGTTGGTTGAACTAGGTAGACTAGTGTCTTTTTTTTCACCCTTGCTAACTATATAACTATGGGGGAGATTTACTAAAACTGGAGGGAGCAAAATCTGTGTAGTGCTGCATAGAAACCAGTCAGCTTCCAGATTTTATTGTCAAAGCTTAATTGAACAAGCTGAAGTTAGAAGCTGATTGGCTACCATGCAAAGCTGAACTAGATTCTGAGTGCTCCAGTTTTAGTAAGTCTCCCCCTATGTAACTATGAATGCATCCCTAATATTTGTGTCTTTTCAGAATGCTTCCCTTTAGTGGTAAAGTATCTCTTTAAAAAGGAATTTGCAGGGGTTTTTTTGTTCCATAACTATTTTTTGCAATATTTAGTACTTAAAAATAACAAAAAAAAGTGTTTATTACTTTAAACCGAATTGTTTAATTGCTACCTCGTAGACAGCAGGTAACAAGCTTCATTTTAGAGCTGTGTTGTAAACTGGACCTAAAGAGCAGACAGATCTGGTTACACAGACTGCAAATTGAGTCATACATTGCTAGAACTAAACAGTATATCCTAATTGTACAGTACAATTGGTAGACATAGGCAACTTATTCGTACACAATGGGTTATAGGCTTCAGGTGTTTCATGGGTTATACGTCCATACCTCAGTTAGACATGGCAAGCTTTTGAGGACAAGACCCCTGGGGATCCTCCTTTATAACCCTTCTCCACTCTGTAAGTTCTCTGAATGCGATTGACCTCTTCTCCTTCACTGAGAAATCACCTTCATTAGTTTTAATATTTTTCCTTAACACCTTCACGCCGACGTAACACAAATATGCGGCCTCACAAAACTAGGCTACTATTTGCGTACCTGTCTTTGTGCTGGGAGCGTGCCGCACAACGCACTCCCAGCACAAAGACTGGGGTGTCACTGAGAGCCCTGGGTCCCTTTCTAACGAACGGGACCCAGGACTCCTGATTCCAGGGTTACATGATCGCTGGCATAGCCTCTGATTGGCTATCACAGTGATCAGTCATTGTGAAGCCTGCCCCCTTGTTTTTTTTTCTCTCTGAATGGAGGAGAGAGATACATCTCCTTGCAGAGAGAAAAAAAAATTTGTAAAAAAAAAAAGAAAAGATAAATATATGAATATAAAAAAAAAGAGAAAAGAGAAAAAAAAAATACCTAGATCAAGGTTTGATCTACCGTATTTTTCGCTCCATAAGACGCACCTGACCATAAGACGCACCTAGGTTTTAGAGGCGAAAAACAAGAAAAAAAATATTCTGAACCAATGGACTGCAGACACAGTACAGGGGATGACCAGAGACTGCGGACACAATACAGGAGATGACCAGAGACTGCGGACACAGTACAGGAGATGACCAGAGACTGCGGACACAGTACAGGAGATGACCAGAGACTGCGGACACAGTACAGGAGATGACCAGAGACTGCGGACACAGTGCAGGAGATGACCAGAGACTGCGGACATAGTACAGAAGATGACCAGAGACTGCGGATACAGTGCAGGGAATGACCAGAGACTGCGGACACAGTGCAGGAGATACCACCAGAGACTGCGGACACAGTGCAGGGAATGACCAGAGACTGCGGACACAGTGCAAGGAATGACCAGAGACTGCGGTCACAGTGCAAGGAATGACCAGAGACTGCGGACACAGTGCAGGAGACGACCAGAGACTGCGGACACAGTGCAGGGAATGACCAGAGACTGCGGACAGTGCAGGGAATGACCAGAGACTGCAGACAGTGCAGGGAATGACCAGAGACTGCGGACAGTGCAGGGAATGACCAGAGACTGCAGACAGTGCAGGGAATGACCAGAGACTGCAGACAGTGCAGGGAATGACCAGAGACTGCAGACAGTGCAGGGAATGACCAGAGACTGCTGACCTTTGGGGAGGGAGGGGGAGCGGGTACCTGAATTTGACACTTCTGTGACAGCCGGGTGCCCACTGCGCATGCGTGAGAAGCGCTGCGCTTTGTGAATGGCCCGGCGCCTTCTGGGACCTGTCATGTGTCCCAGAAGACACCGTATCATTCACAAAGCGCAGCACATGCGCAGTGGGCACCCGGCTGTCACAGAAGCCAGCGCGGGAAGACTGTGCAGCACTGGAGCGAGGAACAGGTAAGGCCCTGCAGGAGAGAACAGCTGAGCGGCCAGCCCGGTATTCTGACATGGTGGCGGCAGAAATAACGGACCGGCCGCTTTATATTCGCTCCATAAGACGCACTGACTTTCCCCCCCCTTTTTTGGGGGGAAAAAAGTGCGTCTTATGGAGCGAAAAATACGGTAGTTCAGTGCCAGGGTTAGTGTTTGGGTCAAAGTCAGGGTCAAAAGTCAAAGTCAAAAGGTCAGGATTTTTTTAACTGGTGTCAGTGTGTTTTTTTAGGTAAAAAAAAAACAAAAAATACAAAATGTGCACTATTGTTTCTGGGTTGTAGTACATGTACAAATATAATACACATATATGGTATCACTGCGATTGTCAAGAGCTGTAAAATTAATTTTGGGTTGTTCTTTGGTGGTAGGTTATGGTAGTAACAATAAACACACAGCTAAATTTAAAAAAATTATTTTGTTTACTATTTTGGGATAGTTTTCCTTTGATAATAAGAAAAAATTATGAGATATCCATTACCATTTACCACCAAATAAAAGCCCAATTTGTACTGAAAAAAAACAAGGTATAATTCACCTGGATGTACAAAGTAGTTGTGATGATATGTACAGTTTTACTAACACATGTCAAAGTTGTAAACTTTTACTTAGGCTTTAAGATTTGTTTTACCCTTAGGTGTGAAGGGGTTAATATCTTATTTTCTGATTCTTCCCCTTCTTTAACCCTCACTGTCGTCTAATGCCTACACAGAAGCAGTGCATCTGGATTGGTGCAACCTCGTAAAAACTTTGGGAGCTGCACCCAGACCCTAGCTGTGTGGACTTCCTGTTGCTTTGGGCACTGAATTCTGCATGGGGTGTTCACCTTGGCACTTGGTCCAATGAGTTGACTTAGCAGCAGGGTGCTATACAGGTCCAGGGCTGTGGTCTATTGCTAGCAAACGCAGTCCCTGAAGACCCTTTCAGGGGTTTGCCCACTGTGATGGGTGAACCTGGACTTTGTCGTGGACAGGTAAGACAGGTTAAACGGGGATATGTTCAGAATGTTTTCAACTAGGCTCAGGTGGATCACCATGACACCAATGGTTGCATACTTTAACATCATTTTTGCCTAAAGCCCTTATAAAGTCTTTAGGCACTTCTTCCTGCCCTTTTACCATGAAGATTCATTACAGGACGATATACACCTGGGTTTTCACATATTCCTTCTGGACTTGCTTACCCTATCTCCTATGCTCTACTCCACAGGGGATTAGCCTCACTTATAACTATGGTGGAGACCAGGCGAAGGGGCCAGTTCAAAACTGGTGAACATTTGTTCTGCCAAAAGCCTGTACAACAATCAGTCTCAGAGTGATGATGCATCCCTTGCACCAGAGCACGGCCTGGTTTAACACCATTCTGATTCTAACTCTGTTTGAGAAGACCACAATTAGGTCTGCACCAGTATGGATAAGTATATAAATACATCCTATTACATAGCAGCTGTGGCTATTAGTATTTTAATTCAAATAATCTGAAAACTATACATTGCTAGCCTAGTCAAGACAATTTGGGGTTTATTTACTAAAGCTGGAGAGTCCAAAATCAGACTCCCTTCTGCATAGAAACCAATCAGCTTCTAACCTCAGCTTGTTCAATGAAGCTTTGGCAATGAAACCTGGAAGCTGATTGGTTTCTATGCAGAAGGGAGTCTGATTTTGGACTCTCCAGCTTTAGTAAATAAACCCCTTTGTGTCATAACCTAAAAATGAAATAATATGCATAGAATGTATGTATGTATGTGTATATATATATATATATATATATATATATATATAAAATATAAATATTGTGTCAATAAACAATATTAATAAATAGAACCGTGTGTGCTTTTGTGCCTAAACATCCATAAATCCTATGTTGATAATAAATAAATAACACAGAAATATTTTGTGTTCATAAGTGCAGTAATTAGTACATAAATCCACATATAAACTGAACAGTGCAAAACAGTTCAAAAACTTCCACAGTGCTTCACACCACTCCATTGTGCTTCCTCCACCAATACTCCAGTGTGTGCACCACCTGTTCATTCTTTATCTAGTGACAAAAAATCCCTTATATGATGATTTTTTGGTGACAGGTTCCCTGTAAGGAGACATACAAAGTCTTTTAGACCCTTGTGCTTCACTGAATTTAATGCAATGCAATAGATTCTGTCAGCTCTGCTCCCTCCCCTTTACGCACCCCACCTGCTATGCTAGTCCTGAGGTTTATTGTAGGAATTAAATCATAAAAACATACTCACAGACGAAGCATGTATCTAAAAAGCATAGAAAAATGACAATGGCCACAACGGCGGGCAAGGTGTTCTCACTGTAAGTGCGGTTAAAAACTGACGCGTTTCGGGGACGAATCGTACATTCGTGATGCCTCAGGCATCAACAGCGAGGCTCTTACTTCACTTTCCATTCATCATACATCAGCATCAGAGGTTGGTCATCAGCTCTGAGGAAAGGGATTCGTCCCCGAAAACGTGTCAGCCATTTGACCGCACTGACAGTGAGAACACCTTGCCCGCCGTTGTGGCCATTGTCATTTTTCTATGCTTTTTAGATACATGCTTCGTCTGTGAGTATGTTTTTATGATTTAATTCCTACAATAAACCTTGGATAATGCACTAGGTGTGTGCGCCACCTGTTTTCTCTCTATCCAGTGGCTGATTTCCCCGTCTGAGGAGGGCTGCACCCCTGGAACATTTCCTTTTGGTTGTCGCTGTCCTGGTACCCTTGGCTTCCCTTTTGGCTGTGCATATCCTGAGGCGCTGGAGAGTACATACGCTATGCTAGTCCTGAGCCCGCAGATGGGCAAGCAGAACCTGGGATACATGGTAGGGGTGTATGGGGTGGGGCGATTGCTATCGAGGCTGTGTGGAAGCAATCAGGGGGAGGGGGGGGTGCAGCCACCAGAATGCTTCCATCTAACAGGCAGCCACTGGGGAGTGTGTGTAAAACCCCCTGCTGTCAGATCCGTACAACGTAGGAACCTAGCAGTGAAAGGGTTAAAGATGTTCCTTCTTTCGAAGATTCTGCTTATAGAAAATGTAAGGTGCTCTTAAAAGCTGTCTTTAACCTGGTAGGCCTGTCCCTGCATTCAGTTCCCACTGATAGTTCTTTATGGCAAACTGCAGCTAAATGGACAAGGACAATGACTAACTAGAACAGCTACAATTTCTGGGGAAATTGTGTGAAGTGTTCTTGCTTCCTACAGTAGTCTACAACGAGAGTGGGCGGAGTAACTGGGTGGAGTGGCTTCTCACTCTGCTGCCTGCTCACACACCTGGGTTCCTATGGCAACTCACTCTACAGCAAGGGCAGAGAAGAGTGGTTAAAAACAAACTGCTCCAACTTGCTCACTTCACTGGCGGTTGCCATCTTCAAATGATTTAGTGTAAAAATTATAAATCCTACACCGAAGAGCTTTATATTGTGAGAATCACAAGACCCAGACCTACATTTTAATGCATAGTATGTCTCTGAAATATTAAAAATGAAGGCACAGTTGCAGTTTAGAAATTGCCCTTCAAATTTGAGGTGGCTAGAGTGGAGTTTCAATGAATGTCAATGGGCGGCGTGAGTTGCAAACAAATGGTCATATTGTGAAAACTATCAGGGCTATGGCTTAGCCGTGGACATATTTAGTGGCAGCAGGGATAGCTGAATGTTTTGATATAAGATGTGTGTAGGTGGGCTTGAAAATGAGGGAGTGATGGCAGTTTAGAAATTATATCCTGATTTTTCAGCTCCCACTCTAGTTTTGAACATTCCACCATTCATTCCTATGGGACGAATTTCACCGCAAAAACGCTGATATTTTGTGAACCATTCGGCGAAACGTTCCACAAAGTAATAGCACACCCAATCTGCACGTTTCGGTATATTACTGTCTATGTAGTGTAAAAACTGTGGGAGGAGTTAGGGTGGTAAATTTGGCTATAATAATAAGAATATATATGTGAGATAACAGTAAGTGGTCCTGCCGTGCAAGAACACTTAGCTACCATTACCCTGTATTTCAGGTTTGTGATATTGCAGAAAAATTCCAATTGTCCTCTGCTCTTGTTTTTGCGTAGATGCCCTGGGACATGTCATGAGACAAATATGTAGAATGGCTTTAATCTACATGTGTATGTACAGAATCATATGGCTAAAGGCTTGGACAGTGGAAGCTGCCTGTAAAAGGTGCCTCACATGTATGCCCTTTCAGGGAAAACACCTATTAGGTGAGGCATGTGATGGTGCGCAGCATCAGACCCCAGCCCTTCTCACCAACTTGTGACCGAAGGACCAGCCGATCTAAGACTGCGCTGCCAATTGCGTAACAATGCCACTCTCAGCTGCACCCTGCACAAAGATTTTCCAGCTCGCTGGACCACAATCTATGTGCCCATCAGCCTGAGAGAGATTGTTACTGGGTCAGGTTAATTACGCAATTATCCCTTCACACTGCCACTACCACCTTTTTACAGAGAAGGAGGAAACTCACAAATCTTAGCAGTAACACTATGATATTAGAATAAGCGTCTGTATACACACTGCAACCGCAGTCAGATGTATCCAGAGGATTAATACATACAGTAGCACTCTCCAGAGACAGGGATTCTTTTAGTTTGCAGTAAAAGCTTTATAGACAGTTTCAACACTTTTCAGAAAATAGGATTTATTACTAAAAAGGTCAAAATGGTGCAATTAAAATAATTTACGGAAAAGATGTAACAAATATATATATATGAAGAGAGCAATAAAACAACAACAGAGAAATAAAAGAAACGTTTCAGAAGGTAGGATACTTGCAAAAAGTCCTTGGTTTAAGCAAATGTCCGAACAAAAAGGTTGCCTGTCTCCCAAAGATGGTTCCTGATGTTAAAAGGGAGAAATCTCTTCTTTCTTCTCTCTAGGCATGTCAGCCTTTTTTTTAGTATCCCAACAGGGGTGTCTCCTGAAAGCAAAGAGCCAATCGCCTCATTTGGGGATGGGTGCTAGGCAGAGACCCAGGCTATTATGACCAAATCCCTTACAAGTTTATACCATGGTCAGTAACCTTCAATAGGTACAGGTAGCATCCTAGCAATTGGCAGATTAATATGCAGAATCATATTCCGAATGTCCAGATATCAAATATGGCATATCCTGCCACTCTGGATAAAAATATATTGCTTTCTACCCTCTTGTAGACGCTACACAGGGATGTAAGGTGTCATGTGACTCATATTAAAATGACCTATCTGAATATATGCTTTATATCAATGTGCCCAGTTCCTGTTGAAGTTTATGAATTTGTATGAAAAGTGACTCATGTGGGATGTACGTTTTATGGCCCCTTCTGCTGTAATGCTTACATGTCAAGTGACCCGCTGAGTTATGGCTTTATGACCGGACCAAGCTAAGTGCTTGTCCATTCCATTCACAGGGGGGGGGGGGGGGGGACTGGAGGAGTGAGAATGATATTTTCAGATCATGATACAAGATGGTAGACCTTAACAAGATGGTGGTCAGCGTCCATGTGTCTAAGCGCACAATTGCCACAAGGCACTAGACCAATTCATCAAAGAGGTCACAGATGAAAAGGTTTTACTTCCTCAGAGAAAGGTAACAACCCCCCCAGAGGTTTCAAGCACCTCTAAACACAGAGCGCCTGCATGCTCTAACCAGGCCTCAACTTCTAAATCAAAATTCAGCCCTTCCTTTTAGCGCTAGACTTGAAACACAAAATCAGCATGCCTCAAAGTCTTCTTTCCTATAAAGGTGTGCCTCATTCACCAGAATTTAGAAATTCACCCATTTCAGCAAAATTCGTCTATTGTAAATCTAAAACTTTTGTTTTTGTATATGAATTTTCAGTTCCTATTTTAATATCAAACCAAAGAAAGTGGTCATCACTAGAACCCACATTTTCTCCCACCTCAACATTAGACATTTGTCAGTGCTAGGTCTAGAATATGATCTACTTGGGTTGGACTTTTTACTAACTGTTTTAGAGAAAGCCCATTCAGTGCTTGCATTACATCCCTGCTCCTGCTTGTACTAGCAGTTTGAGAATTTCAGTTATTAGACATGTTGAAGTCACCCATAACCAAAACCTCCCTCTTCATTGCCATTTGAGTTATCAAATAAATCTACCTGTCCTCTCGCAGTCTTTTTGAGAATTTGTATTGAGCTGTGTACGTGCCACTCAGTTTATAGTGCGCATAGTGCCTGTGTGCCGGGATGACTGCACTCCTGTGCATGCATAGGAGTGACATCATTCCGTATCGGCAAATCAAGACAGCTGAAGACTGGCACCTGGAAGAAGCCGGGGAGAAGATGCCCCCTCGGACCATTGAAGAAGAGGTAAGTATAATTCAGTTCCACTTTAAGGGCTATTCTACACAGGCAGCTGAGCTGCAGTTTTAGTGCTCCCGGCCACCCACTAGAATGCTAACATTGCAACCTCACAGGACTTTAAACATGCCGCAGCGTCAAAGTTTTACAGGTGACACCATTGAAATCAAATGCTTGGCTTGCAGTTGCGGCACAGTTTCTCAGTGTAAAGTTACCTTTTGGCAAATAAAAACAAAAAAAAAAGACATCAGGAGGTGGCAGTAGCACCTCCTGAACTTTTGCTGGCTGCTGCTATACTACCCTTCAAAAAGCATTGCCTTTTTAGAAGGCAGTAAGGATTATCGCCAGTATGAAATGTCTACTAGACAGAGTTGAAGATCATAGGAAATAAACATGTTAGACACATTACAGGAATTATTTGTGATGGCTGTGTGAATGCTCAGACATTTTTTTATAAATAGATACCTAAGAGTCGTGGATGAACCTTGTATTAAGCATTTATTTGTAAAATGATTTATACAAACAATGAAAAAGATACATTTGTATATCTAATTGATATTTTATTATAATTACTTATAAAAATTAAAATTTTTATGAATGTAATATTCAGTACTTCCTGTTGTTTCAAGCAATTTTATAAGTAAATGAATATACTTGATCAGTATGTTTTTACTGTAAAGATCTTTTTCACCCTGTCTCAGCCTCTGTCACAGTTTTTGTAAGAAAAAGGATTGTTTGTTGGATTACTGGTTTATAGCTTAACCCCTTTATGACCAGGATCAAAACAAACCTTAACGCCCAAGCCCAGTTTTGCAACTTTGACATGTGTTAGTATAAACTGTACATTTCATCACAGCTGCTTAGAGTTTCCAGGTGGATTATACCTTGTTTTTCTTCTGTAGCTGTATATTTTTATGTCATTACCATGAACAACCACCAAAAAAAACCCCTGCAAAGTAAATTCTCCTATTCATGACAATTGTGGTGATACCACATACAGTACATGTGTGTGATTTTGTTTTTTGTGCCCATAGTAGGGCCAAGAAACAGTAATACAGTTTATACACTAAATATACAGTAAAACCTTTTTTTCTTATCTAAATCACACTGCCACTAGCTGACACTAACTGTCGCTTGCACTGCCACTAACTGACAAGGACACTAACTGACACAGACACAAACTGACACTGACATCAACTGATATGGACACTAACTGACACGGACATCAACTGACATGGACACTGACTGACAATTACACTGAAACTAACTGAAAAACCATCATTTTAATTTACACTGCCACTAACTGCCATTAACTAATATTTACACTGACATTAACTGTCACTAACAGCAACTGACACACTGACACTTAGACTGTTACTAACTTACACTAACACTGGCACATACACTGACACTAAGAGCTGATTCACACATGTGTGGTGTGGATTGAAGCTCAGGTTTCACAGGCAACTGATACAGTAGTTGTTCCGTGGTTCATGTCAGGTTTAATCAAGTTCAGAACAGGATTAGCTCAGGATCTTATCCTGTTAACACACATGCGCTTTAGAAACGGTTCCCATAGAAGTCATTAGCTTGTAATCTGCACCTGAACCTGAAGGCACTGCTCAGAAATCAGACATGACTCTTTTTCAAACCACACTGAATTAGCACTGAATCCGAACACCGATGTGCACCGGACATATGTGAACAGGCACCATAGAAAGCAATGGTATTTCACATGTCACGCATCCAATCCGCATATATGTGAATTGGTACTAACACTCGCTACACTAGATCAAGCCCTGAACTGGTTAATCTTTATTTATTTATGTTTAAAAATACAGATTTTTTTTTGCAGACGTCCTCTAGCAAGGATGAAAAGATACAATGTATCTTCTCCTCACTAGAGGGATATTGTGTTGTCTCTTTATAGAGATAAAACAACACAGGGGTGGGTCGCAGATTGAATATTCCCTGGGATAGCCAATTAGGCTCTCACAGCATCATGTGATTGGGATCTGGTTCCCCCGGGGTCCCGATCGTCAGTAGAGACCTGTCACCAGCAGCTTGGTTCTTAGTGCTGGGACCATGCTTGACCGCATGCTCCCAGTACAAACAAAACAACACATATATGCAGCACCCAGGTTTAAAGCCCACCTCCTGGATGCTGCATATATGTTACGTGGTCATAAAGGGGACACCAGGCTATTGGCATTCAGATATTTATATATTCTTGAAAGCAAGCAATCAGGTCTGGTCTCAGCACTCTGCTTTCCCCTCTCTTCCTGTGCAACTACTCTGTAATTACATTAGAGATTAGAGGGTTGGAAGACTGCTCAGTCACTGTTGGGAGGAGGGAACAAAGTAACTGAAAAGCTTAAGGGCCAGTTCACACTACGTGCGTTTCAGTTGCTTTTTTTTCTGCATCCAAAATGCACAGAAAGTAGGTTATATGGTTTTCAATGTCATAGTTCACATCAGTGCTTGTGGTTCCAGTGCGTTCCAGTTGCAGAAAAAAAAGTAGAACATGCTGAATTTTTTCTGAACACAAACTGTATGTTCTGTAGAACTGGACGTGGTAAAATGCATAAAAAATGCACTGGAATGCACACGTCCCTATTTAAATTTAAGAAAAAGAGGGGAGAAAATTAACTGGAATGCATAAGAAATGCCTGGAACGTGTCGAAACGCATCAAAAACACGTACATACGGAAACGCATCTGGACTGCATTTCTATAGTGTGAACTGGTCCTAAATTAAACTTAAAGTACTTTCAATTAGAGGATGAATTATGCTGCAACACCTTTAGCTACAAAATTCAGCGATGTGTTTAAAAGCTTTTTTATACTTTTAAACATGTAAATATTTGAATACCTATAGCCTGGTCACAGTTTTTCTTTAAACCACCATGTGGCTCAGAAAAATAGGGACACATTGCACATTCCATGTGACAATGCTTTTGATATGTGCTTAATTTACATTTTTAATGTAATGTAGGTTCAAATAATGTATCAAACAGCGGAGGTTTCCTACTGCATCATTTTCTCAAACATATACTGGTCAGAATCACTGTTACAAACTTATCCTGTACATGACTACCTCATTGTGGAAAAAAAAAGGAAAAGAATGCCATATTACATTTCTTTATAATATACTCTACATTTCTTTTAGGTATCAAAAACCTGTGCCAAACATAAGCAGCCTCTTGTACAGGTACTCCAGAAATTAGATCCTAAGCAACTGGAAAACATTAAAGGAAACTATTCCAATTGCACTGAAGTAAGATGTTATTTAGGTAAGTGCACAAGGGGACCTTCTTAAATTTCTGTCTTGAATGAAAAAAAGCAATCAGTGATATAACAAACCTAATTTATAGCATTGAAGCATGTTACAAACCAGCATGGAAAAACAGAGACAATGTATATTTAGGTGTCTTTACGAAAAGATAGTGTATGATTGATTATTCTCTAAACAGAGTAAATACATCTATTTACAGTAAACTGAGATTTTTGAAGGGTGATTGCCATGTGTAGAAATCAATGAGGGAAAAACAATTTCTGATGCCACAATAACCATTTAGATTTTCTCTTTCTTGGCCTTTTGTAGTACTAAATAATGAATACTATAACTCAGTTGCCATTGGTAAAATGAGCTTTACTTCTTTTTGACAATTATGCACAATGCCATAATGCCATATATGCTGTTAGCAATTACTAAAATGAATTAGTAGCTCACCATGAATGTCCATCTGTGCCATCGTTTGTGGTGACTTGGAGGGCAGAAAATGCAAATTCCAGTACCCACCCAATATCATACATCCCAACTGTTCTTCATTTGGAGGGACTGTCCCTCATGTGGAACCAAATTCTGTCTCTCTTTCCTTCTCATTTGTCCCTCATTATAGACATATCTGTGGATATAAATATTATTATCACATTGCTGTTTTAAAAAGCCAGTATAAAAGAAATAGGGGGATGAAAAAGCACTTGTGGGTTTAGACAATAATTTTTTGGATTATTAGTTCTTCATGGTTCAGGTAATTGGGGGCATGGCAAGTAGTGTGCCTTTTGCCTACAAACTTTGTGCTAAAGGGTGTCCTTCTTTCCCATCTTAGAAAGTTGTAACATTGCAGTATACTGTAACATTAAGTATAGTGAAAGGGAACAACATGTTACCTATCTGTAAAATAGTTACTCTATATTATGGAGGCAGCTGGATTCTATAGAAATATTCACTGCTGGGATGCCTGTCCTTTTACTATGGCTGAACATCTGGCTTGCAGAGGGTTATTACCTCTGGACTCCTGGCTGAGCTGAGGATCCACCCCTTCCTACCTCCTCCATTGAGCAAAGTTGTTTCATTGTTTACAATGCCTGTAAAATGGGGAGAATCTCCTGAGTCACAGGATTCTCTCACTCATTCACAAATCATGTTACAAGTAGTAAAAGAACTTTACTCAATGGAGGAGGGGCAGATCCTCGCCATTGACTTTTTTTTTTACAGCTGCTGAGCCTAGAAATGAAAGCTATTAACCTCGTGCACAGCGAAAGTTAGAGTTAGAAAGAGGACAGGCATCCCTGCAATGAAGGTTTATCCAGGATCCAGCTATCTGCATGATGTGAGACATCCTTCATTACTGATAAGTAATGAGACTAAAGCTTAAAAATATTTTTAGCTAACCTTCAGCTTTAATAAATTGCATAAAAATTCAGTGCAAGATTCTGTAGAACCACAAACAGCCCAAAGTGGACACAAAATCACATTGAAAGACAGACTGCAGTGTTAAAAAGGTCTTAACAGTTGTTTCTCCTACAGCTGGAGTATGTATTTTTCAAGGTATGAAGATTACAGTCCTCTCCTCTATATGGCATATATTTTTTCTCAAATGATGCTTCTGTGAATAGACATATGTTTAGATCTCAAAATATCTTTATGGCAACAATAAAAAGGAAAAAAAAATAGACAAACTCCTTATGCTATAAAAAATAATTTTATTTGAAAAAAAGATTAAAACTCACACTCTGTTGGGCACCCAAATTATGCACTAGATAAGGAGAGCTTCCAGGAATCAGAGATATAAAGTGTAGAAAGGAAGGACTGCAGATATAAAGTGTAGAAAGGAAGACTCTGCATGCCCAACCTCACCACCACCTGTGTCACCTTGTTCTGCTCAACACGTTACATCAGAACTACTTTGTCAGTGTTACTGATAAAGCAGTTTAGATCAAAAGCACCATGGTTCCAAAAAGTCTCAATGTAGATATGGATCTAAATTGCTTTATTAGTAATTTTTAAAATTGAGAAGTTGCTTATCAGCACAGTTTGCATTCAGAGTCATTTGTACTAGAGAGAGGTTTGCTAAAATATTTTATGTGCATTTTAAGAGCCCTCAGTGCTGTCAAGTACAGGCTGCACCACATCCCTATGAATGCAAGACAACACAAAATATAGAACAAAAGATGGTTGTTTAGGGAGGGGCAAACATTTCCCCCAAAAAAGTTACATGTAGTGTCTAAAAACAAAGAACATTATTGTACATGATTAAAAAGTTTGTAGCACATTTGGAGTAAAAAAACACAAAAAGTTTTACATTGAATAGAATAAGTGCACTGACTCGTAACTCTTTCCATTCAGCCTCACATATATCACAAGAATGCACATTATATTTGCGTATCATGCATTAATGTGTGTGTGTGTGTGTATATATATATATATATATATATATATATATATATATATACACACACACACAACATCATGGATTAGGAGAGTCTCCCAATAGTGCGGTAGATGTACAGCAGAAGATGCGTCCGATGCATTTCTGGAGTAGCTTCTTCATGTGGATCAGGGTACTGATAATAGAGCATATTTACATGATATGTTATGACACATAATATCAGGACCAGCAAGCAATTCCATAGTATCACATCATGAAGTACTCACAAGATAATTGCATAACACAATTGGGTTGATTTACTAAAACTGGAGAGTGCAAAAACTGGTGCAGCTCTGCATAGAAACCAAACGGCTTCCAGGTTTTATTGTCAAAGCATAATTGAACAAGTTGAAGTTAGAAGCTGATTGGCTAACATGCACAGCTACACCAGATTTTGCACTCTCCAGTATTAGTAAACCAACCCATTGTGTCAATTTGAAGATGAGTTGGCGCAGCATGATGACAAGCCCTAGGGTGAGGAGAGAACTGGGTGGAGATGGATCCCAAATGAAGAGGGAAGGAAAGCCAATCATTTAAAATCCCATATAAAACCATAAATTATGGATATTACGAATTTAAGAATTCTGGCAGACTACTCAGCTTTCATTATAAACCATGACATAAGGTAGGAGATATACTATGCTACACAGGGAAAGGAGATCTCAAAAGTAGAATTACAACTCACGAGATACATAGCTCTAAAAAAACAACAAGACATATGAATTAATATCAGCATAGGCCCCATATACACAGGGTTCAATATAATCCCCCAATGGTATTATCCCGTACTTGGTGATGGAGGCCAGTGGAGAGAGGGCTTCCCTTGCGGCTAAGTTCTGGACTCCCCTGAGAATGGGACAGCGGGAGTCAGGCCCAAAGTTGCACAGGTCTCCTGTAGTGCTGGTTGGTGGTCCACTCAGAAGCACAGCTGGAGCACGGAGATAGGTCTGCAGACAGGAGGTGCCTGTGCATAGTATGCAAGCCCTTCCGGGATTTAGATGTTTACTGGGTAGTCGGTTCAGGCCAAGGTCAGGTACCAGGTGGGAATCAGAGCAGACGTAGTCAGATGGGATAGCCAAGGTCATACACAGAGGAGCGAGAGAGAGAGTATCCGTAAGCCAAGCCAAGATCAGATCAGGGGTAAAGCAGAGTAGACAGGTCCAGGAGCAAGCCGAGTCGGTATCAGGAAATCACAGGTCACAATCACAGGAAACAGGAACAAGGCACAGGGAGTTAGAGATCATCCAGCAACTTGAGGAAGTGATGAGACTCCTTATAAAGGCCGTCTGGCACCACACTGAGGCTGATGCATGCTTCTGCGGCCATGCTGGGTACTGGCAGAAATTCCAGATCTTCCAGAACTTCTGCTGTGGACAGGAACCTGACAGGCATGCATACAAATTGGAACATAAGGCATAGTGATACCTTGTAAACAACATAGATTCTCCAGTCACCCACACGGTCGACTCCTAAACATGCCGATCCTGCATTCCGGAGCACTCAAGAAAAGTTCCTCCTAACTGAGGTATAGGCGTCTGCACTGTGTCCCAAGCAAACAACACTGTTCCTCCTTAATAGAGTGCTGTAAAATTTGGCCAGCAGCCTCTCACTAACTCCAGGGGTGACAGCTGCTCTCCTTCTGTTCTCTTTTAGCTGCTCAGCAAAATTAGCGGCAGTGGTATTTTCCCAAAAGGTCAGTTGGCAGCACCAGTCAATAACCGTGGTGCTCTCCCCAACAATCAGGCGTCACCAGTCAGCAACACCAGTGTTCTCATGTAACAGGAGATGTCTTTTACTCTCTCTGCGTCCCTGATGTGGTGACAAAATATTCTGCTAACAGCCTGCAGCACAGTGTATCTTCCACATTGTCCTCACCATATATCTTGAGCCCAGGAAAAGAGCATTCTTTTCCTCTCCACAGACCTCTAGTAATACTGATATAAGCAGTGCCAGAGGAAATCTGTAATGCAGGTGCAATCTTTCTTGGAGAGGCTAAAACAGGAAGGCGCTTCTAAGTGCAGTATATCCAGATGAAATTTAATGATGACAGTTAGAAACACAAACTTGAAGTAAAAACAGGCTCAGTAAATTCATCAGGATGCGGGGGCTCTATCCACCTTGCGAGAACCTGATGTGCCAGCCAGCAGCTGCAGGGGGAGCTGAGGATAGGTTGTCCAAGATGGCCGCCACAAGTTTCTGGGGTCAATGAAACACACGCCAGAATGCACGCTGTCCAGGAGACCGCAACTGGAAATGAGGTGGATGTGGAATGGGCGTGGAACGGTGACGTGTTTCGGAGCATGCGCAGAGCTTCTTCTTCAAGACATCCAGGATAAACGCATGTAAAAATCCTCAGTAAAACATATACATATAAAAATGCAGCGCTGTAAAATGATCAAATCATGCAAATCAACACAATAATAGTCCCCAAAAGGTGCTGATTAATTCCCAATGCCAATGGAAAGAATGCAAACTAACCAGAAGCGCATTTAAAATATGCATGTGTGTAAGAAATCCTGGAGATTCCCCTCTCTCCCTCTGGTCAGAAAATGGATATGTGCTGAAATGGATGACGATAA